CTTACTTTTTGAGATTTTTGAAAGTTAAAATGGAATTTAAAAGAAAAGGCTGGAGTTAATCATCAAAATTGTTTTAAGAGATATTTTTGAAGTTGCTTTTAAAAGGAGATTTGACATATGATATAAGTAATTATGATGTGAAAAATAATTTATTTTTATAAAATCAAGTGGTAATTTAAAAAACAGTTTTTAGTAATAAAATTCTTTGTAAACGTCCCGACCGATGACTTGGTTTCCCATCATTTTAAAGGCACGGCTTTCTTAATTCTTCAGAGCTGTTGCAGCTTAGAATAGATCAGCAGATTTTCTCTGGACTTCCTTTCATGACATTTCTGGTAATCCAAGTTTAATGTTAATTTAGGCTCCGAGATGTTTACATGTAAGATTGATACAAACCTTGGGAGAACCACGCTGATGTTACATCCATCCCACAGAATCAGAATGTAAATGTACACTCGACATGCGAACGTCAGATTGATACGAACCTTAATAAAGAGAACCATGCCTGAAACCAGTATTTACCAACACTACCATGCATAAAATGCAATACAATCCCAAACCATTTACTCATTCAGCGAACAAGTAGATTACAGGTAACACTTCAACACATAAAGCTAACTTAGAAGAGTTAAAGGTGAGATCATCCAAGCATTCCACATATGTTTACATCTATTTCTACATCCCTAAAGGTTAATGGTTAAAAGAAGAACTTTACAGGAGATGGTCATATCACCGCCGAGACACGTCAAAAGAAAACAGATAATATCTTGATTAAACCTAGGATTAGGAAAGGGGAAGCAGGCACCGTCTAGCCAGATAAGTATGACATGGCTCGCCTGAAATCTAAAGATTTTAGGGCTGATTCCGGGAAATGTCTCGCATCTGGTGTCCATAATCCACCTTGTTGGGGAAGTAAAACCTCTGATTGATTTCTTGCCGGACCTCCTTCACCAGCTGTTGTGGATGAGACTTCCTTCTTTTTCTTCACAAACTCAAAGAACTTGGCCACTTGTTGTGCATATCTGATACCAATACAAAAATAAATTTAATTGAGATACACATATCAATCTGAAGGCCACAGATATTCCATAGCTAAAGCCTAGACATATATAACAAAGTATTGTGTCTAAAGCAAGACAGGTATTCTTCAAGTTTATTATTTAGTATTGTGGCATGCCATCAGACTCTTTTGATCTCATCAGAGTGATATTCTACAGAGTACAATAGATGCACCAAAAGAAAAGAAATTCTTAGAAAGATAGTTATCTTACTGTCTCTTTGCTTCAATATCTTTGTTGAAATCAATATTTGGTTCACAGTCCAGAACCAAAGCAGGAACCTGCTCATTACCAAAAGAAAGAAAGTAAGCCCCTATCTTAATCCATAAAAACTAATCTTGACTTCAGAAACAAAGAGAAAGTGGCATACCTTTTGAATGCTAGAATGCAAGTGATTGCCCTCTAGGAAGAATACTCGGTCTCTGATATCTGGATGTAGAGAATTATCCATATGAAGGGGTAGTTTTTGAACAGACAACACTCCATGGTTTCCACTTTCGAAGGGGAAAAGCCAACTCTCATGCTTTTCATGCAAACCACGGAGATAGTCTAGTGTCACTCCACCCTCTTCCGCTCTCTTCCGCAGCAGCATTCTTTTATGGCAAGTATCAGGACTAGCCCTCAGATAAATAAAGCCATCAGGAACAAGCCCCGGCAAGCATGATAAAACAGGATCAAACCATGAGTCATAAATGCTGATCTCCATCTCATTCATCCAATTTGCTTCATGAACAGCACGTACAAAGACCTTAAGTAAAAACGAGACATGATACATCAGCCTCAAAACTAGGTCAAGGATTTTTCTTCTTCTCAAATGGGATAAACCAAAAGAGAAAGAAAAGAAATGCAATTATCCAAACCCAACAATTTTGGTTGTCAAGAATTTGAAAAACACAAAAAAATTTCTAAGATCATTTTGAAAGTCTGCTTCTATATGCACATTGCAGAATTAAAATATCTAAAGCGTCCTAAAGATCAAAATTTGTCATGAAAACATAGGAATCATGCCAAACTTATTAACAACAGACTCTAGAAAGGAACTGAGAAGCTATACAATGCTTACCAGCCTGTCACTGAAAACACTCCTTTCCATCAACCTGAGGGGCTTTATTCCACCAGATGACTCTTTCTCCTGCATAACCCTGGTGACAAAAACATAATTCTGGAAGGTATATGCATACCTTTGTGGCTCCGCATAGAATGCATCCAATATATTGAAATGGTCAGGTCCAATATCCTGCCACTTCTTAATAGGTTCAGGAACAATCTCAACAAGATCCTGCAGCTCAAGGGTTTCATTTGCTATCCTCTGAAGGAATGTTGTCTTTCCAACACTGATATTTCCCTCAACACAGAAAGTGAGTCGTTTTTTTGAGATTGGTTTTGCATCTGAGTTTGAATCTTTCAGCTCTTCATCAACACTCTCTTTGATGTAACTTGTTATACTCTCAGCATGGTTTCTGTGGATAATTCCAACAGAAGTCTGTAAATAGTCAACCATTATCTGATGGGCCTTCCCAAAGAACTGCAGAAAAAAAACAGCCCTAATCAGCAGAAATTCCACAGAGCCATTAAATAAGATAAACGAATATGTTTTCTCCATGTACATCGGACTGGTAAAAAAAATAAAGAGGAACACAGAGTTCAACCAAAAAGGATGACACAACTCATCAACATAAACAAAAACATTTCAACTTTCCTCATTCTCAATCCAAAGCAGATAACGGATACAACCAACAAACGCCATTTACAGCCCAAAGGAAGAAAGCAACAAAAAGGAATCCCTTTGAACACATTTCAACAAACATCTGGAACCACATCTGGAACCATAACCACCAAAGAGTTCATGAAACGCGCGCCATCATAACGAATCAATGGAAAATAGCAAGAGGCTGAACCGAATACCCATTTCAATTTCATATATAAATGTACCAAAAACAAGAAATAATCCTGAATCCCACCTTTCGAAAGGAAAATCTAAAGAAAGTAAAAAGAATACCAGGAAAGAAATAGTAATAACCTTATCCTTGTATAATTGCTTGAGTTCGGCAACACCCTGAATCCCATTATCCACCAGCTTCCTCAAATTCCTAGGTCCCACTCCTGGGATCGTCAACAAGTCAGGATTCCCCACCAAACCACTCGAACCCTTATGCTTCCTACTCAGCCTAATCGGCTTCTCTTCATCACCCTTTTCTCCTTTCTCAGTCGGGCTGGTGGAATCTTCTCCAGAACCCTTCGAACCCTCCACAGTGGAATCCAAGCCATCCGTACCGCCCGTATGGCACCAGGCGGGGCGTATAGAGACACGGCCCGTCCAGGCCCGAAAATGGGTTCCAGTATCCATGGAGCATCGATCAATTCCGCATGTGGGGGCGTAAAACCGCGCAGAAATAGAGGGTTTTCCGGGTAGTTTAGCGGCGAGCGCCGAACCACCGCCAGGGAAAGTCGCCGTGTGCATTGTGAGAAGGACCTTACTGCTATTGAAGCCCAGAGAGAGATTTGTTAAGGGCAAGGAGAGAAACGGAAGAGAAGGTTTAGCGGCAGTAGTGCAGAGGATAAGGCCATAAGGGCTTCGCCGTAAAAGCTTCTGCATCCCTGTCGCGCATTTCAGTGACCCATTTCCGCACTTTGTGTGTCAAAGACAAATCCTTTTTCAAGATATTTGTTAAGTGCACGAGGATTGAGGAGAATGAGGAGGGAGACGACTTAACAAAGAGGCGGGAAGGTAAAGGCAGAGAAGAGAAAAAGGGTTTTGGGAGGCTTAATCATTTTATTCCTAAGAGGATGGAAAAGATAAAAGGGTTTATTATTCTTTGAACTTTGATTAAAAACATAATTCACCTTCTCAAAGAAAAAAAAGGAGTTAGAATTTGTAGATATTAGTTATGAGGTAGTCGAGAGTGGGGGGAGAAAGTCATTCTCCAAATTTTGAAATCAAAATAATTCATATTTTTGTAAAATTTTGGTTATTTATTTTTTTATTCTTAATAATTGAAATTTATTTATTTTTTATCATATTTATTCAAGATAATTATCTCTTTATTTAAAAAATTATAATATATCTTAACTATTAAAAATAAAAAAAATAAATAATTAAAATTTGTATAAATATAATGAGTGAAATTTAAGTGAAATTCTATTCTTTTTATCAATGTACTAAAATTAATGTAAAAGAATTATTGAAAAATTATTACTTTAAAGTTTAAATTTAAAATAAAAACTATGAAATAATGATGAGAACTAGAGTACTACCTACAACCTAATTAAACAGACATTATTTAGTTTAATTATTAAAAAAAGTTTGATAATTGTTTTTTCTAATTTAACTATGACCATCAAAATTAAAAGGCTAAATTAATTTAAAAAAGAGGGATTAAAATATTTCATATGGTGTTAGTGTTAAAAGCAAAATTTATTTTCTTTATTTTTATATAAATTAATAATAAAAATATATAATAAATATACCTTAAAATCACAAGTTAAAAAATCTAAAAAAAAATGAAAATTTTGAAGGATGAGTTTGCATTTTGGCAAAAATGTAAGGGCTAAAGATACACACTTTTTTAGACTTGAGGGATTTCGTAATTCGTGGTGTCAGGTTGGAATTTGCATAGAGATGACAAAGATTTTTAAAAGCGCTCAATTAATGCTTTAAAGAAAAGAAGAGGCCATTCCTTCGCGACACGTCACCATCAATTTTGTATACCCGTTTTCTCCCTGGCCTGATCATGACATGTCATCCCACTCTTTATATTTTATGTTACGGCATTGCTATGCTCACAAGTTACTATTACTATATAATAAATCGAGTGAAATTGAATTTATGCTACATCACTAATTGATTTAAAAGTTGAGAGTTTAAAGAGAATTTCTTTATAATTTAGTAATTATTATATTTTTATGTTAATAATTTAAGTAATTCAATATTTATTTTTTTTTAATTAAAAATAAAAAATTCTGAATTTGAGTCGTATAACATGCAGATGAGGTAAAGTAAAGAATGAGATATGGTAATAAAAGTTTAATATTTTTTTTAGAAAATTTTTTAATTTTGTATAAAATTTAAGCTTGAATATTTATGTTTCTTATGGTTTTATATTATCTTGTTCTATATTAAGAAAAAAAAAAGTGTTTTAAAATTATAAATGTGAAGAGGTAAGTGGAATCAGTGATGGTCATGTTATATTTCGTATTTTTATACTATCGGTCTTGTATTTATTGTTATTTTGGTAATAAAAGTTGTCTTCCACCAAAAACCAAAAAAATCTTAAATCATATGGAAGCCACACAATATTCATGTGACAATATTTAAACGCCTGCTATTTTTTTGGCACAAAATATTTAAACACGACTATATATGTGTATGTGGGCATTTATGAGCAGATAGAGATTAGCATAATTTTTTTTAGACACAATTTTGTAGTACAATAAATGTATTGTTTTAATTATTAATTTAGTTAAAAAATGCAAAATTAACATTAATTTTAATACCAATATCATGTACATAAATTTCATTAAATAATTAATAATTAATAATTAATTTTTATTTTTTTCTATAAATATATGGTCAAGAAGTGCATTTATTATTATTAATTATTACATCGTTAAACAAGAGTAATCTTTAGGGATTGGGCCGTTCCTAATGGTCCAATTTCGTTATCTTGTTGTTGTTGTTTAAGGAGTCAGAACTCAAAGGCCATAGCCTTGATGGTTGGCCGAAGGGGCCCGCCGCCATATCCCTCTTCCACCCCTTGTTACGAGAAGTGGGCTCAATCAAAGGCCTGCAACATTCAAATTCAACCTTACAGATACAGAGCCCGCAACTTTAGACTCGAATCTAACCCAAAATTTAAAAGGCCCAATAAACTACAAAATATGCCACCCTCTTCTGCTTTAGTAACAGAGGGTGGACCCAAGCCTTGTTTCGGCCTTAACCGAGCCTCACTCATCATATCCGTATTCCACTATTCCGTACATGCTAGGATAAGGCCTAGGCTCCTTCTAACAATAGAACGGCAAAAACCAACATTTAACATTTCACCTTACAAAATTGATAGGTTTTATCTCATTACCTCATAACATAATAGTTTTAGCCTTTTATCGTACAAAGTTGATAAGTTTTAGCCTCTCACATTACAAAATTGGTAGGTTTTAACCTTTTACCTTATATTATGATATTTTTAGCCTATTACTGATACAAATTAAAGAAAATAACCCTCACATAACATAAAGTTATAACGTTCTGTTAGTTTTGTTACTTGATTGTTAACATCTATTAGTATTCCGTTATAAAAAATATGAAATTTAAATTCAATTTTATTTGTTAGTTTTATTAACGGGATGCTAACGGATGCTAACAATTAACTAACAAAATTAACAGTTAGTTAACAAAATTAACAGTCAGCTAACATAAATGACAATCAGTTAACAGAATTGACAATCAGTTAACAGAATTGATAGTCAGCTAACAGAACTGACAGTCAACAATAGAACATTAAAGTTTGATGTTAAATAATGACTATTGTCTTCAATTCGTATAGATAATAGGTTAAAAGTGTCATAATATAAGGTGAGGGGCTAAAATTTACTAATTTTATAAGATAAAAGGTTAAAAATGTAAAATTATAAGATTGAGAGTTAAAATCAATTAATTTTGTAAGATGAGGAGCTAAATGTTGGTTTTAGCCCAATAGAAATGCATGAAATCCTTTTACCTGTTTTCTAGAAGAAATTCCATCTCTTTTGCCCTATTTTTCCTTTTTTCCAAAAGATCATGTCAACGGTGACATATTTTATAATTATTAATAAGATAATTTTAATTCTAATAATTATTTAATTTAATTTAATTTAATTATGTGATATTAAAATTAATATTAATATTAATTTTTTTATTTTTATATATTTTAATAATTAAAAATATATTAATCATGTTTTTAATTTATATGTTAAGGTACAAATTAAAAAAATTTATTTTTATAATGCTAGTAGTGTAAAATAAGAAAAATCTCATTGTAATTTCATAATTGCATTCTATTTTCCCCACAGGCTACAGCACTCAATTAATTAATTAATTAATTCAAAAACCGCAATCATAGTTATAGGTAATGATGACAATAGAATTTTTTCCGAAGGTAGGTGCGAAAGCAAATGCTAAGAAGCAAATGGCAAGAAAAATTGGAGAAAAAATGAATTAATATTCAACACTAGAACAAGGGAAGAGGCCAGCTGGAATTAAATGAGAAGAAGAGACACAGTCAGACTGCATATTAATGTCCACTCCTCCCACCAAACTCTTATTTATGGGTTTTTATCCATTTTTTGGGATTGCCGTCATGTTGATTGCTTAATGCTAACTTTTCTTATCATGTGCGTAGTGCAGTTTTTCTCGCTGGCTCTCTGCTAAAGTAGTTATTAGCCCTTTTAATTATTTCAATGGGAAGATTTACCTCATCATTTGAGTATGAAACTTCCAAAATTAGAATAAATTAATTCAAATTGTACTTAATATGGAGAGATTTAAGAGTGGCAAGCCTATCTTTTGTTTTTAGAACAAGTACTAAGACGTGCTTTTATATACTATATGTTTGAATCAGTGTCGCGTCCAAAGATATATTAATATGTTATAGAAGTTCAATGAGACGTTTATTTTTCTTTAAATAAGTGTTTCAATTTATAAAATTTAAGATTTTAAATTTAAAACCAACTATTTAAATAATTTAATGATAATTTTTTTTCATTGGAAACAAAAAATCCTAAATTTGAATCGCATGACATGTGGATGGAATGAGATAAAAGATGAGAGATGGTTACCTCTCATTGTACAACTAAGATAAAAAAAATTCTAAATTTAAATAATTAGTTTAGTGAAAAGTGGATTTAAAAAAGAATTAATATTATGTATGTTATAATATAAAAAATGATTTAGAGACAATTTTTATGTATAAATTTTTTTTATATAATCTTATATGCTATTTTTTTTTATCACGATTTATAATGTTATATGCATTTATTTATTTAATTATATGTAAAAGTTACAAATAAAAATTGTTAAAATAATTAAGTTATCCACATATTATTATCCCATGTTTACCCTACGTTACATATAGCTAATACATCAAATACACTTCAATTTCTACTTCTTTCCTTAACAACAATGATACAAAAATAGAGGTTGGTTGAACCTTAATACAGTCATTTTCATGCATACATGGGCACTTTTACATTTCCTTCTAGATGATAATTTCTTTCCTATCTTTCTAGTGTCATCCTTTCGATTTAACCCTATTTATATAATTATAGCCCATACCACAAAAAGCAAGCAAAAAAGCAAGACAAAGACATGTCCAGAAACAAGAATGGATAGGGGTGGGGAAATATAAGTAAAAGAAAAGATGAATCGATGAGAGATAAATAACAAACAAAAGTAGTTGAAATTTCCAACGTCACCAATCTACCAACCTCCATCTTCCCACACCTTTCTCTCCATTTTCCCTTTCTGAGTTCTTATCACAAATTCACAATTGTCCACTTGCTATAATGCAGATGCATTTTCTTATTTGTAAGTGTCTTTTGCTTATTCACTAAGCCTGTAAACCATGCCTTATCATACAAGGATTTGCATGAACATGACCTGTATGCTTATTCTTTACACATCAATAAGAGTGTATTGGGATTTAATGTCAAAAGAGGGAAGCAAAGGTTAAAATCCTAATTTGGTCCCTAAACTATTATACGGATCTTTGATTTAATCCTTGAACTAAAAAAATTCTTAATTTGGTCCCTGAACTATTGTACAACCCCCAATTTGGTCTTTACTATTTACCAATTTATCCCAAGTTGGTCATTTCATACAAAAAGACAGCTTACGTATCCATTACTTAATAGTGAAAAATAATAACTTAACAATGAAAAACAATAACTTAATAGTTATGTGTCACATTAATAACAAAACATATCAATTGGTTTTTAACGAAAAAACCAACTTGAGGTAAATTGGTAAATAATAAGAATCAAATTGAAATCCGTACAATAATTTAAATACCAAATTAAAGATTTTTTTAATTTAAAGTTCAAATCAAAAATTCATATAATAGTTGAAGGACTAAATTAAATATTTAACTTGAAAGCAAAAGCTTAGCTGGGCCATAAATAATGGGGCATATTAGTCCAAATTGAATTTTCTTTGCAAGAGAGAGAGGACATGTTTGGTTGGCCAAAATCCCATTGCCGTTAATGCTGGAATCCAGTACCCCTACTGTTTTCCACATGATGACCCCATCTCCCTTCACCCATTCCCCCACCAACCTTTAACTAACCAACTGTTCTCAATTATTTTACTCAGAGATTCCGGCTACCTACCTCCCAAACATGCCACATGCTCTTTCCCATCTTCTTCTCTTTCTCTCTTTCTCTCTCTCTCTTCCTTAACATGTACATGTTAAAGAAAATTTTGCAAACATTAGACATTTCTTTGCTTCATTGACTTTTACAATTAATTTTCAATTTGAAGTAACATTCTATTTTTCTCAAAGAACACTTGTTTCAATCTTTTAATTACATTATAAATAATAATTTTTTTATTTTTTTTATCGATTTCACTTAAATATTGAATCAGTCAAACTAAAACCTCTTACTTTTAGTTAGAGGAGGTTAATTGTCACTATTCACTTGCCCACTATGTTTATCCAAAACAAATAACATTGAGTTGGCATAGAAAAGATATGTAGGACTAACATGTGAATTGAGGTATAAATCATATGACTTGACCCATCCAATAATGTTCTCATGATAATGTTAAAATAATACAAAAATATTCAGTACCCACAAAATCAGCGGCTGAGCTGGCACTTTTAGGTAGGGGAGAATACCGAAAAGAGATTTAGATCCACCATTCCTCGTGGGATGTGGACCCCCATCCTAAGGTACCAAACACGTGGTTTCATGTTAAATTAATGATTATTTTAGTATTAAATAATAACCGTCCGATAAGGGTCGGTAGGTCTACTCATCATCATCATCATTATCTCTTTATCATAACAAACCTTTTTTCGGACAACTGAGTTTTCTTCTAGAACCTTTTGCATAACCTAACTAAATGAGACTAAACCATGGTCTACTTTGGTTTGAGGAAAACCACTAATTTGTTTTTGTTAAAAACAGCTT